ATACTTCAAAGAAAACGCGTCAGGAAAATATTGGGAACATAATGCAGCCCTAGTAGCCCATGTTCAACCGTTGGCTTCCATGCGGCCGGCCGCCATACTAGTTTGAAACGTGCGCGACTGCGGGCGGAGGCGCTGGTGGGATTACGGTGTGTTGGGAGTATAAGTGTGTGCAAGTGAGTTAGAAGTGATCGTGAGTGGTGTCTTGGTACTCGAAGAGCTCCAGTTTTAGCAAAGGTGAGCTATTCTTGGCTAGCAATGGCAATGCTGCGGATTCCGAAAGACATGGTACTGGCCGCTGGGGGGGGGGGGATGGCGGCATACTCCTGATAATGGTTCTTTAATATCCGAAAAATATATCCTCAGATTTTTTTCTCTTGTGTTGGTGTGCAATTTAACACGCACCCTGCTTGGGTATTTATCCGAATTCGTAACCCCACTGGAGAGGGGGAGGGGGTTGGATTCTGCTTATTTCTATTATGCTCCGCGTATCCGTGCTGCTAGACTGATTTGCGATGCAATGTGGTGGCATTTGTTCCCTGCAACCTACATTCTGTGTGTAATTTCATAACGCTGTATCATATAGGTATGCATACAACTTATTGATTCCCCCATTGGGTACAGGGTGTCAGGTACAAATGTATCACTGGTAGTTTAAATGAATTGTTGGTAATAACAAGGTTGAATAACACCAATGATGAAAGTGGGTGTTCAGTTTATCACACATGTGAGCATCATTCCCTGCAATGTCAGTGTTTGTTATCAATTTTACACCGTTACGAGTGTTACTAGGGTGTCTTAACAGTGTTGAAGTACACCCTTAATGGACGCCTGAAGGATGAGCTTAAATTCCAAAGGGCGTTAAAAACAACGTAACCCGAAGCTGATATTAAGGGAGCCTTAGATTAGGTCAAAGGTCAGGTCACCAAAGTTCATCGAAGGACAAATTTTGCCTCTTACGCCACTTGTTGACGAATCGGCGAATAACTTGTGAACGAATAGAGCTACAGCGCCGCCGAAAAGTACACCCAGTAGCTCTTTCAACGTTTTTTGTGGGTGTGAAATGCGTCCTAAGATTTGATCTAAGATCAACTAATTGCCCTACAGAGGAGAAAACCCATGAAATAAACGGTTTTACAGAAATTGTTTTCTGCAGCAATTCATTTGATTCAAAACCGACACGACATTTAATGTTCCGGCATCGTGTTCCTCGATTTGAGACGCGTCTAATTAAAAAATAATATGACCGTCAAATGTGATTTTGAAAATCTGACCAAGGGTTATGGTGATGACCCGACCAGAAAGGTCATGTTACAAATTAGTCGATTAGTATTGTCGAGCTGAACACATCTTATGTGTTTTCATCGCTCTAGCTCTATAAAAAGTTACTGTAAAAAAACTGAATAGTGGATAGTGGATACATGTCATGACCTGATAGCACGTCTTGGGTATAAATAGAGACACGGGTGCAATTTTCCCATTCAGTGTGTAATGTTTCTCTGTTATTCAATGTTTGGGGGCGTTAAGCATGACTTTCGTCCAAAAGAACACATTTCAATTTGTTCCCGTTGACTTATGCATAATGTTTGCATTCTTGACCTTACAGGTTACAGATATCAAGCTTCAGAGATACGTATTTATTCATGCTGTTAATCTTATCAATCGCCTAAAATTTGAAAGTGATCACTCAGATAGTGTAGCATTGGCGAACAAACTCTTAATTTTCTGGGATGAGGTCACTTGATGTGGCCTGGTGACCTGACCTTGAGCGACCTGGGTATGAATTTTAACATGTGCAAAAATCTTGGACAAAAGTGGGCAGGGCGCCGCCGTTTTTTTAAGATCTGCGAAATACCGCAGGAGGGGGAGTGGTGTTCATGTTCAAACACCTCAAGCCCGCCGCGGAGTCATCCTATACTTGTTTCTGTAGTCTGTACGTGTTTCTATTTCAAAGTGTCGTCCTTTCGTGTTTCTCCAGAATATGCCTCCCTGGATCTTCCCAGATGCCGCCTAGTGAGAACCCAGCGGAGCTTCACTTATAGGGCTGCATCCGCCTGGAACGCCCAATTAACACGCAGTTAGACTGGATAGCACCGGAGAGGCCCAAGTGAATCACCAGCGCTGTGTTTTAAACAAAATGTTTTAGGTCTTGCAATGTGTCTCATTTTTAACCATGCTTTTACCAGTGTACAATGACTGAATTCGTAATACCCACCATGTGGAGAATTCTAATAAATGACTCTGACTCTGACTCTGAAAAGCCAAGAACATAAACATTTTCATGGAGCAAACGGTCTTCGAAGTGGAGCTCAGTTGCCATGTACCCACTCAAGTGCGCTCCGTTTTCAAAGAGCTGAAGCAAAGGGCAAAGAGATAGAAGGGCTCAGAGATCAAGCTTCGGGCCGCGCTGAAGTGAACAGAGCTGTAAATGGTGTGTGTGGCGAGGGAGGGGGGGGGGGGTAGGCACGACAGGCGATTATGAACTGCGAAGTGTGTGAATAGGGCTAGAGAGAGCTAGCGTCCTACAGCGACCTCGGTGAACACTGAACTGATACGGACTTAAGAGGGAGGAGGGGGGCTGATATGTAGTAGACATGTGCATGGATCCGAGTGATTGATCCATGATCTCAGTGGATCTTAAAGCAAACGACAAGCTTGGATCTATAATCCCATTGTATCCCACGTAGAAAATGTATCCTGAATCTCTGAATCTATGATCTCATTGCATCTTATAACAAACCAAAATCAGGATCTGAGATCCGATTGAATCCCACCACATGCAACCTAATGAAACCATGTTTCCATGCGACTTGTTTTAAATTTTGAATTTGAATTTGCGTTGTTTTAAATTTTCTCCGTGTACCAACTGCGCCACTGGAGCCGCCCATATACTCCATGACACCTACAGGGTGTCATGGAGTATATGGAGCCTGTGGGCTCCCTGTGGGTGTCAACTTGGTGACACCGTTATAAGTGTAAGCAGCGCTGTGACACCTTTTAATTACACCCGTGGGTATGCAGTTTAACACACACCCAGGCGATTATTCCCCCAGTATCCCTATGGGTGTCAACTTGGTGACACCGTTATAAGCGTTGTGTTGTGACACCTTTAAATTACACCCGTGGGTATGCAGTTTAACACACACCCAAGCGATTATTCCCCCCAGTATCCCTACGGGTGTTATCTTGGTGACACCATTATAAGTGTAAATAGGGTGTCTGAGGGGAGTCGAAACGCACCCTTGTCTGGGGTGTATGACACCACAGTACAGAAACTGGACACCCTTAGGGATAGTACAATGGTGTATCTTGACGCTCATATAAGTGTTATCTGACACCTTTCAAAAACACCCGTGGGTATGCAGTTTAACCACTTACACCGTTAGCAGTGTTTTAAATTTTCTCCGTGCTGCTTTATGGCCGTTGAAGGCCCTAAGTGCTCCGCGATTCCTGTCAACTCTGGAGACCAAGCCTCCATACGAATGTTAAACGTCTTGTCGATAAAAACAAGTCCCAAGTATTCGAACTTCAAACGAGAAATGCATCCGGTGAAAGTTGGCTGTATGAGCATTGAATACCTCAAGACATCTGTCCAACTGTAATTGGTAAAAGACGCTTCCTCTAAGATAATTTGATGCTTATAACCGATATCCGAGAGACAGTCTACCAAGACGGCTATGCACGATCATCTAAGTATTGCTTAAAAGAAAAAAAGTATTTTGCATTGAAGTTTGAACATACGTCCTGAAATGGGAAAGTGAAAACACCGCGGCATATTTTGTCTTCATGTGAGAATAGTTGTAGCCCCTGAAGATTATGGGCAAGTCAGAAGTGTTATCAAAGTCAATACAATTATAATGCTGAAGTACCTATGCATGCATAATGCATATAACTCATGTATATAACTAATTATAATCAGTACCTACAAATAAAAATTATCATCAAATATGCCTCCAACGCTCGTTCAATACATACTGTTTGTCTGGCACAGTTGAGACTTTAAGGAACGGATGCGAATGGTGGTAAATAGAATAGCTGTAGTTTCTTCTACGCTAATTTTGTATCGTCTGATGAAGTTTTGTTTGAGTTTGTTGAGGTTTTTTAGTTATGACGGATTCATACAAATAGATCTACATGTAAAATGGCTAGGTAGTTAGGTACCTACTTCAAAAACTGAAACTGTAACTACATATATCGAGTTTCATTGAAGTACATATTAGGATTATTTCGTTACATTTAATTGGAATCAGCCAAGGAAAAGATCTTTGACACTGAGTGTCCTTAGCATAATGCCATATCAGGTGGTTGTGGGTCATTGATGAAATTCAAAGTGAATTTAATATCATTACCATTGATATTGAATATCAATTCGATTATGGCAAAACGATAACTCGATTGCATGCCTCTTCAAGATCAGCTAATGTTAGGTCAAGATTCACGCATTTTAATATAAAACGCTTGACCAATATTTGAAATTTCAATGATTATCTTGAAAGGACTTCTGCCGCAGAAACTGGCACACACATAAGGTCAGCCCTCAAAGGGCCCGCTAAATTGACGTATCAATGCGTGCTCGGGCACATGTTTCGCTCACGTGCCAGTTAGCTTGTCAGCTAATCCGATTTGCACTCCTATACCAACATTGGAATTCTCTCCCAGAGGGCTGTGAATTTAATCTACTTGTTCTGACCACCTCCCCTGAGCTGAGCAAACAACATCGCCCGCAGGCCAATTGAATTTCCAGTGTCGGTCTTATGCCCGGGCGAAATTGAACGACGGAGGGTGATTGATGCGGCCATGTTTCAGAGCGCTGTGATGGATTCGACGTACGGCAGCCGGACGTCTCGGTAGGCCCTGATTCCGGTTCCGATAGGCGCGGCTGAGAGCGGGGCCGCAGGGGTACTGCCGAGCGGAGCGGCGGCTCTGGAGGACCCTCGGCCGGCGCCGGCTGACCCAGCACCGTGTCAGCCACGGCCGGCCCCCGGCGCCCGGCCCACACTCACCTTTTGTTCCCAGTATGCAGAGGAGCACTAGAGCCAGCGCCGGCGGCATCGCGGCAGTCCGAGAGAGGGACGCTCTGCGCTGTCGGCAGCTCGGCCGCCCGGACCGCCGCCGGAGCCGCTGACACGGAGCGCAGCAAATCACCGCCCGGAAACCGACCCTCGAGAGCCGCCTGGCTCAGCTCAGCGCGGCTCAGCACGGCTCAGAGCGGCTCAGTACGGCTCAGCGCGGCAGCCCACCATTCAGATCAGCACTGCCCCATCGGGCGGAGAGCCGGTCTCACTAATTGTGCGGCAAAAAGCCAACACCGCTTGTTCGTCGTAAACACTTTCGGCACTCGGCTTCGGCGGATTTCCAAAACGGCCGAAAACCCACTGTCACCGCTAGACAGCCACGACGGGCTTGCCAGGTAACCTCGGGTCACATTCGGTCACACCAGGTCAACTGACCCCTCATCAGGTCGCATCCAATCACCATTCAACCCTCCTGCGATGTCACCAGGCCACTCAGGTCACTGACGGCTCGTCCTCCCTGCCCGCTCTCCCCCGCTGTCCGCAGGGCGGTACGAGTATACAAGCGGCTCTCTGCCCTGCCACTCTCCTCAGTCACGAGCGGCCCTCCCCGGAGGCGAATCTGCGGACAGACGAGCGCTCCCGGCGGGCAGCCTCTGAGTCCGGCTGGTGGGCGCAGAGCCGCCGACTGGGCCGGCCACCGACTGGCGACCCTGCGCGGCGCCCCAGGCGGGCAGAGGTGCAGAGCGGGACGACCCGGTCCGGCGCGGTCTGCGCGCCCGGCGGGTAGAGCGAGCGGTGCCGAGAGAGGGAGGGAGGGGGGAACAGGGGAAAAGGAGCATGTCAACCAGAGACCGTTAAAGGAATTTAAGCCCACGTCTTGTCCTTTGTAATGCATCTCCGTGCTCTAAAGTCTAAGCAGCAAGAGATATCTGGTAAACAAAAAAATTTAGGTGATGTTTTTGATGGTAATTAGTGGTAATTAGTGGTATGTAGTGGTAACGCAATTAATGGTAATTAGTGGTAATACAATTAATGGTAATTAGTGGTAATGCAAACCTACGATAAAATTGCTAATCAAATACCAACTGTGCTTATTTCACATAACCTTTAGACTTTACCGTTAGACTTTAGCGCACATTTTGTCTTCGATCGGCTGAAACTATTAACAGCCCATGCAAATGTGTGTGGCCCATTGTCTTCACAGAGTAACAGAAAGAGAAGCGTAGAAGAAGGAAGTGATAGCACTTCCCGAGAAAATGGCGTTCAGCAATGTGTTGCAAAACCACCTCCTAGATAATATCCTTATGGCGTGAAGTTTCCGAGATTTGTGATAATCATCCCTCCTTTTCAGAGCGGCCGACACATGATTGTTTTTGCGAAGTTCCCTGTTATGATGCATTAGAGGATTATCTCCAGGATGAAGATGTTTTCCAGATGTCTGATATGGACTAGGACGCAAACTGGAACTAAATTCTCTGGACTGTTTGTAAGTCGATTCGAACAGATTAGAAAACGATTGCGAAACTTAAGTGCTTAAAAAAAACGGGTGATGATATTAAGACCGTCTCCCGGGTTCACATTGATTACCCACCATAAAAAATCATTCAGATTTGTGACGCGTCTCCGCTTCATGATAATGCGTCCAAATGGAGGCAGTGCACGCTAGTGTACATACCTAACGAATCTAAAGAGCAGGTACACGAACAGGTGCGCAGGCTTACAAAGTGGTAAACCAAATGACAAGTACGCAAGCATTTCATTACATTCACTGGATCTAACGTGACTTGATTACAGACTAAAACCGACCACCAAACACAAAGAAGTGGATGTCACAGTTGCACCAATCTACAATAAGACCCGTCCAGCTTCAAAGTTTTGCAATAATATCGAGCAAATTCATCTCTTGCCTACAGATTCTTTCTGAGATGCTGGCTGGAATCGAGGGCAATGGCGGAGGGCCGCGGTCGGCCGAAGCCCTCTACATACTTAACTGTAGCTGGGGTCGTTGCGTGACACGCTTAGGATAGCGCTGAGCTTCAGATTCGGGCACAAAGGTTTAATTTGGAGCTGCTGAGAGGGCCGTTTAGCATTTCAGAGTCCTCGCTAAAGGCGCGGTGGCAACAGAGCCTAAGCGACACCATTCCTTGTGCGATAGAAACAGAAAATGACGCTGGATAGAGAGCTTTGACGGTTGACGCTGCAAAGCTTTGATCATATGATGTACAGGTTTTGTAGGAATCTCAAGTATGGCCTCGGTGTAACAGTATGCATGAAAACGCCTTCCTCAAAGTCTATATAACCTCGCTTCTGATAAAGCAGTGGCAGCAAATGCTGGAATTCAGGGAAATGAGTCTCCAAATTATCGTCTTGTTGGTATGCACGACGACGATGCACGATTTCAGTGCGCTCCTCGCTTGGTTCATTTTGAAGAGACTCCGCATCCTGCATCATCGAGTATTCCTCTGCATTAGCTATGTTAGGCTATTACAGTAGCCTGGAGCCATTTTTCTGGGCACTGATCCTCATTCTGTCATATTTATCTTTCTGTTGGTATGTCCGACTGCGTCTTTTTCTTTCCTCTCTTCCTTGTCCTTCCTATCCTCTTCCTTCTTCTTTTCCCGATTCTCGTCAGAACAGGCCCGATATCCGGTGGCCCGAGGCACCGGCGGCGGCCCGCCTCCCCTCCCCTCCCATCGGGCGGGGGCGGCGCCGGCCCGCCCACTCCCTCTGCTCTGCCCCCTCTCTCGCTCGGTGACCGGTCGGCGGCCGCGGCACGCCGCCGGCGCGGCCTAATGCCTCTAATGAACGGCCATCGGCAGCACGCAGACCGGCAATGTCAGCCGCCGGGCGACTAACCAGCAGTGACACGGGCCGCCGCACGGCCGCCGCCCCCGCCCCCGCCCCCGCCAGCGCCGTCTCTGGTCGGCGGCCACCGCAAGACTGATCCGCGCCGCCCCGCCTGACGTGGAGCGGCCCGCCCGCCGAATCGCGGGCGCTTATCGGCTGTATGAGCGGCCGTCGGCGGCGGCGGGCTGCCGACTGTCGATAGCAAGACGGGTCCGGCGCCGCTGGCTTGTTGACAGATGGGCGTCGGCCGCCGTCCGGGAAGTTAATGCTATCACTGCGGTGATCGTGATAGCCCATTGTGCGCAGACCGAATGTCCCGGCACCGTCAGCCATGCGGTCGGACGGAGGGGCGAGCAGGGCTGGCTGAATGGACTGATGGGACGGACTGGCTGACTGAATGGACTGATGGGGACGGGCACGATGACTGAATGGACTGATGGGACAGGCAGGATGACTGAATGGACTGTGGAACTGGCTGACTGGATGGACTGATGGGGCGTGCAGACTGACTGAATGGGCTGATGGGGCGGACTGGCGGACAGGCGGCCTGATGGGACGGACTGGCTAACTAAATGGACTGATGGGGCGGACTGGCTGACCGGATGGACTGATGGGCGGACTGGCGGACAGGCGGCCTGGTGGGACGGACTGGTGGACTGAATAGACTGATGGGACGGACTGGCTGGCTGGATGGACTGACGGGACGGGCAGGACACATAAGCTGATGGGACGGGCCAGATGACGACGGACTGATGGGCTGGCGGTTGCAGCGACGAAGAACGCATACGGAACGAAAAACGTAAAACGGGAGGCAGGCAGACGGACAGACGAAGTAACGCACGGACGAATCGACTGACACCAGGGACTGACTTCTGGACTCAGGACTGACAGAGAGGATAGTAACCGACTGTAAAATATGATCTGAAAATGACGGAGGGACGGTCTACTAAGGCCGTGTTACACTGCCGAATTTTGGCCACGATCCTGTCGCCGAATCATGTCGTGTAGGAAATCGGCGAAGAGTTCACCGACAGAGGCGAACAGTTCGCCGACAGAGCCCGATTTGCAGAAAACGGGTGGGGAGCCCCCCTAATTGTGCGCGGGTCGAAGCTGATCCATGATTCGGCGAACATCGCGAATGAATGGCGAATCTGTTGCGAATAGTCGGCGATACCTTGGCAACAAGTCGGCGCACGCAGCGACATGTCGGCGGCGACTCGGCGACTGTTTGGCGATCATGTTCGTTTATTATAAGTTCGGCGAACGGCCACGAAATTTTCATTTTTCATGAAATATTCGTGGCGGTCGTGACGAACCGTAAAAGTCGCGCGGTGGACAACGACTGGTCTGCGAAATGCCAAGACCGTGGAAGAAAGATCCCGAATCGGTCCGCGACATAGGATGACTTGCATATTCGTGCACATTCGTGTACCAAAGTTCGGCAGTGTAACAAGGGATTAAAATAATATTGGTCTTGCGTATATCTTGTAAATCTTGCGGGATTGATGGACTGACGGACAGATGGGCGACGGCGTGCGTACGAAACAAATGACGAATGTACATACTGCGGACAAGCACATGCTCCAGTAGAAGATGGACGGATGGACGAGCGAATAATAAACTGAAGGATGGGACGGACAGACGAATGGGCAGACGTATAGACGACGAAATGGACGAGTGCACGGACCACGGGGCGCCGATGTGACGGTCGTTGGGGCCGATGTGACGGTCGCCGGCGCCGACGGGGCCCGTCGCGGCGATCAGACGGCGGCGAGCGGCGGGACGGCTCGATCGGATGTCTCGATCGGACGTCTCGATGGCCGCGAACCGAGTCACGGCCGGTGGTCGATGCTCGGCCGAGGGCGTCCACAAGGTTTCCGCATGGCTCGCGGCCTCAAATGTTGTCGTTTCGCCTCCCAGAGCTGTATCGAAGATCCCATGCGGAACGTCATAAAGGCAGATGTTCGCCGCGATCGAAGCAAGAAGTAGAAATAATTGTATTAAAACCATGTCAAACTGGCTCAATTGCATTGAATTTCGGGTAAGAAATTTCATATTGCAGCATCACAGCAGCTCGGCACAATGGCACGGGCTTTACCTTATCACGGCTCAGCATGACGTCTCACTCAGGGCTGGGTCACAGAACCAATACATTGGCCTGGTTCGGTTCGACGCCAACAGTAAATCTGGCTGATCTATGCCTTCAGGTCGCCGATTTAATGTATAACGTCATCACTCCCGGGGGAATGGATAGCGCTAATCAACATTCCTGAATAGATCAACAGCGCGGCAAACCAAATCGCGGCGGCGGCCGTCCGGCTGTCGGCGGGCCCCGGGGCGCTATTATTGGATGCTCACGGCGGGCCCAGTGTCACAGCAAACATCGACCTGGCTCAACAAACACCTCTTCATTTGCATGCAATTTGGGTGCGGCGGCGGCGGCGGCGGCGGCGTCCCGGTCGTCTCCGGCGGCCGCCCAGTGGCTCGTGGCAGAGTGATGACGCCTCTGTCGGCATCTAATTGGTTTGCCGGGCCTCTCCCCTTCCCCCACCCCTCCCCTCCTCTTCTGCGAGCGGAGGCGCAGGACGGCACTCCACAAGTCGCCGAGGCCCGGGCGCCGGCGCGGTGTGGGCGCAGAAAATGTGAAAGTACCAGAGCCGACTGATTGAGTGTGCTGCAATAGAGGGTAATTGCGCTAGTTCAAAAGTGAAGTTGGCAAGCCGGCCTGTAGCGGGGCGCCCGTGAAGTTTTGTGCTGAAATGTCGCGCCTTGTCCGCAGCGCGGTGAAGCCGTAGTCCAATCGATAGGTGGGCTGCCGGTGCGGCGAGCAACAGCGCAATCAGAAACGGCGCGCCTTTAGAGGCGTGTGCCGATCCCGCTCCCATGCGAGCTGTAATGTAAGGGTTTATTTAATTGAGCCCGA